AATTTTTTTCCAGAGTACTAAATCAATATCATGAACTGAAACTTAGTAAAAAATCAATGTTTGGGCTGAGATATTTTAACATATAACAAATCAATCACAAAGTCCTCATACAAGAAGCAAGCTCCACCTTTTCTGATTGTGTAATTGTTACACAGGTTTTACCTAGAGATGTGTAGCATGGATATGACCACTTCAAAAATGGCATAACATTTCAAATACCCATGCTAGAATATCTGCAAATTTCTTATTAAACAACTGTTTGGTAGAAAGCGACACCTAAAGCCCACAATTCTGCAATCATAAACAGTGGAAATTCTCAGTTTATATCTTAGCTGCTGATAAAAGGACATGTACCAGATGCTGGACATGATCGATACTAGTGAAAACATTAGCAATTTTCCATTTTTTAAATTTGTACAATTTAATATTTATGAAAAAAGATAGCATAATGGTTAAACCTAAAGTTTTGCAGATCAGAGATTTATCAGGCCCATTCTAGAGTTCTTTGAGAAAAAAAGCCATTAAGGGTAATACAATGTGCTAATTATATAAATATTACAGAAGTTTTGCCACTGCTATCTGACAGGACAAATGCCTTGTTCTTGGATTCAAAATTATGCTGTATTATTACTGTGCATCCCTATTCAATCCTCTATCCAAGGACCAATTCATATAAAATGCATTCAGAGCAGAAAAATCTACCATTTACTTTAACCCTCATCAAAATGCTTAAACATCAAGTTGTATTCCCAAGTTTTATTTCATCCAACAGGTTTGGATGTTAACATACAAAGTTATAAAAATACTATTAGTTGTTAAGAGTAAAAATTCAATACGCTTGAACACTGTAATATCTTTTTTAATCAAATTACACTGGTAAGCACTTGTAAGATAAGCATCAAAACATAAAATAGCTTGATTAAAATATCAACTCAAGTTGCTTTCATCAGGATTTAACATTGGCTTCCATATGTAAATTTGAAGCACAGTACAACAACATCATTTTTACTGAAATATTGATCATATCTGAAGTTTATAATGCCCTTTTTTGAGTGTCATCATGCACCAGGTAATTCTAAGGACCCATTCTGAACAGGGGACTAACTAGTCCGAGGGGCAACCCACTACAAAGCTTGCTGTCTAATCCACTAATAGACACTGAATAGATATCCTGTGGGGAAGTATTCAAGTAGGTCGGCCATATTTGTCCCTCTGCCTGGTTAGTCCCCTATTCCGAATGGGGTCTAAGACCCCATTCCCAGAGATTAGATCGATCTACTGTAGATCGACCTAACTCCCTGGGGGTTCACGCTTAATAGCTGTCAGCCGGGCCAACACGAAAGTTAATTGCCCCCTTACAGCTTGTAGTAGGCGGGACGGACATTTAAGACGGATTATCTGACAGTAATCTAGTGAGACTCCCCACGGGGACAGATCGATCTAAAAGCTCTGGGAATACAGCCTTAGTCGTAATAAAATGATAATGTTAACAAACTTGATGAAATTCCACACATGGGACTTTTTTGACAAGACCAGTACAGTGGCTGTCCATGGGAAAGGCATAGTCATGGTGGATTCAGTAAGTTTTAAGCAAATGGATCAAAATATACTAAAACAATGTTCCTAAAGTGTGTGGAAAAGTCAAAAACATTGTTAAGCAAATCAGGATCTTAATCTCTCATAAATTTAGGAACTATCACCTTTGTGGCATACAGAGAGCTAATAAATTATGACTACACACTGTATCTAATATATGTCTGACATGTTTAACAAGTATCTGGTGCAGTCCATCTTTAAACACAAACACAGTATCTGGTGCAGCCTCCTCCCCTGACTTCCTTTATCCTACCACAATGTCTTATTATGGTTAGCACACATCTGGCACTGGAGTCCATCTTTAAACACAAACACAATATCTGGTGCAGCCTCCTCCCCTGACTTCCTTTATCCTACCACAATGTCTTAGTATGGTTAGCACACATCTGGCACTGGAGTCCATCTTTAAACTGCTCAGTGTTTTGATGTCCCCATCAACTATGAAATGCACACCTATTTGTAGGAAAAGTTGAACAGAAGAAGTGGTAAGTCTCCTGGTTTTGTATTTGGGTTTATCAAACATAGCAATGCAGTCTTAAAGAACAAATGAATATAAATTACATATAAATAAACATGGAATATTACAGCACTTATCTCATCAAAAAAAGCAGTTTTGATTTCTGACTGACCCAGAGTTAACATGTCTGAACATGCCCATTCTAATAATTATATAATGTATCACATGTTTACTATATTGCATTTTTGACTAGGAAAATCTACTACATCTTCAAGATGCAATTCTCACAAACCTTTAGTCTCCTTTGTTTCTTGACTTTTAAACTGGTCAAACTGTTTCTTTATGGCATCACTGCTTTTCATAATGACAGATCTGGGCTTTCCAACAATACTGTACTTGGCAGAAACAGCCTTGTTAAGCTCATCAATAGCCAAATTAACACTGTCATAATTTATCCTTCCTTTTATGTACCTTGAAAAAATTATAAAAATACGTTCTCATTTTCCACATTCTTAAATGCCATACATAATAGAAAGCTTAAGATAGAAAAAATGAAAAGCATTTTAAATAGGAAAAAATTCAAACCTATTTTCAAGGAATAACTGGTCAGTCTTTAGGAGGACAATGGCATATGTCAAGTTACACTTACTGAGCATCTATTAACATATATACTGGTACTATATACCAGGCAATGCTACTAAACAGTCTCGTACTGAGAGAAAAAAGTGAACTACTCACTTAGGCACCTCCTCAAATTCATCCTTTGTCAAATATTCAATAGCAGGAACAGGGGGTCTGGTTCTTTTTCTAGCTCCCTGCACCACCGTACCATTTTCTGAGCTCACTGCATCTTTCTTACTTCCTAATGGGCTGCCAGTTGTTCTAAAAAACAAAATGGCCTCACCATACTACATGATGCAAATCTAAAATAACCTAAACATTGTGCATAAATGAGGTTCAAGTTTCAGGCAGCATAAGAAACTAGGGTTGAAAAACCAGTTAAAAAACCAGATCAGAGATCTATTTCAGCCCAATTCTGGAGTATTTTTTGAAAAAGCAATATGAATAATTAAAAAAAAAGGGGGGGGGGTTCTGGGAAATAAAATCACTTTTCCTGTAGGTTCTACTCATATTGCTGACCCTTTTTTTTCTTATTCCAGCATCACCTTAACAGAAAACTAATGTTTATTATTTTTTCTCAGGTTTTAAAAATTTTTCTTTTTCAATACCCAACAACTATGTGGCCAATATGCCATGGGAAACTGAGGAGTCCAGTGAAATGTATACTTACATGCCCATGTCTTTTGCCGAATATCATTACTTACCCATTTTCAGATGCCTCATTTTTAGTGCAAACTTTTTTCTGTGGAAGCCTTTGTGGAAGATTATCATTTGCATAATGGAGATTCTTCTGGAGGTCTAGAACCTGTTCCTTTAACACCTAGAAAACAAATCCATATAAATGATTTTTTCCTGTAAAAATAATTTAAAATATAATCACAGTTAACAGAGTAGAGGAAAAAAAGTTAGAAGAGACAAAGAAACTAAGTAAAATTAATACAAAACTTATACTGCTCAGTAGATAATGTTAGGTGACGCTTCTGCAGGGAGGGGCAGGTGCACAGGATAATCTTTTCCATTCACAAGGGAACAAAATATAACAGAAAAAAAGCTGGCGTTTACATTCATGAAACTGCTCTTACCTCCAGGGACTTCAAATGTTCTTTTTCTCTTGCCACCTCTGCTCTCATCAAGGCCATCAAAACTTCCAACTCACAGATCTCTTTATCTATACCTGTCAACAGCTGCTGGCAGTTAACATCTCCACTGCAGGCTTGGAGCTTAAAACAATTCTTCAAGTTTTGGATTTTATCACCAAATTGTGAAGCAAGTTCCATAACAGTGCAAGAATCCATGTTCTAAAAAAATGATATAAAATTACATAAGTATAAGGCCATTTTTGAACACAGAAGGTAAAAAGTGGCATAAAAATGATGTGACCTGCTTAAAATAATGAATCATTCTTGTTTTAGTGTCACAGTAAAAAATCATATATGTACTACTCGGATAGATACATATAGTAGATACCGGTAGTTAAATGTTTAAAAATAAATCTTAGTTATTCTGCTGAGAGACAATATGTGAGAAAGTTTCCAATCTCACTGATAGATATACCTACTACAATACGCACCCTTAATTATTTTTGTCAGCATTTATTCTCTTAGTTTCAAGTTTCAAATCACCGCCTTCGTATATGACGAGATTTGACGAGACTTTTGCGGTACGTGTAAAAATGAGAACAAATGTACGTGAGGTTAGTCGAATTTATTGGTGTACAATTTACAAATTGAATGAGATTAATTTTGAATTTACCTTAATAATCCCTTTTATACTGTAGTACAACATGTAATATTAAAACAAAAAGGAAAATGTTAATAAAAATGACAACAGAAACGCTATATAAAATCCAATCTTAATTTTCTACTGCATTGATATGTTGTTGCGCACCTTGGATACGTGACGTCAGAGAATGGTGGAACAACATTGATGTCTGCAAGGTTTTAGCACTGTGGTTGATTTAAGAATTTTAAGGTAAAAAGCGGAACGTTTTCATCTTGCCAAGATGATGGCAACACAGAGGCAGCGGCGGTGTAGGGAGCACACTGGCCCTTCACCACATTCAGTCGCTATCGTAAGTATTTTTGCTTAATAATTTGTTCCCATTGAGGGTGTTATACTTTTTACTTAGCAAATTACACCACTTAAACTGCTAAAATTAAACTACCACTGGCAATGAATATCATTCTTGGCTTATGATTGAAATGAGCTGTACTTAGTTGTCACAGAACGTAGTTGGTACAGAAAAGTACAGAAGCACATTTAAACATTTAATGAAACCATTCTAAAATAATCTTTGTTTAACTTCAACCTCATATTTTAAGTGCGACAATAAATTTTATAATATGTGGAGCAATAATTTTCTTAAGATTTATGTAACAACATCATTACCAGTGGAAAAATGTCAGTTATATGAGTAAATGTTGATACAATCACTCTCTTTAGTTGTCTCCCCCCTTGAAAATACTAGTATATATGAAACATGTCTTTGATCCTTACTCAAATATATACCTTGTATCAGAGTATATCAGTTTAAGATACTCATTGAAAAGGATGCTTAAGGCATCAAATAAGCCCTTAATACTTTAGGAATTTGTAGGGCTGAAAGAAATCTCTTTTTTGCAAAAGTTATGTCTGTTGTTGAATCTAAAGGTTGAGAGCACTGGTAGGCCATGTGTAGGTCAATGAAGTAATGCTTGGCAAATTTTGCTTGTTTTATTTAGTTTTTAAAGACAAGATAGCTTTTCCCTATATTTGTTTTAATAAATGATCCAGTGAATATTATTGATAAAAGTATCAGTTTGCTGTTACAAAAATTTTCCGACTTTTTTGCCCAAATGTACATCCGACATCTCTTTGAAAGGATCTTCATTTATTTAGATTGGTAAATTTGAAACTACTTCATGTATAAGTGGAATTTGAAGCTTGTTTTAGTTAAATTATTTATCCATTATCAACAGTGTTCTTTTAATTGAATATATCCTAGATAGAATTCAAATGATACAATCTATTTTCACTTCTGCAGGTTGCTCGCCCTACCAATAAAAGACCTCCTGAGCATCTCATCTTAGAAAGAAGAAAGAAAGAAGAAATGAGAGAAGAAGCTTTACATCAGACAAAGTATAATGAATTTTGTGATTTGAAAAATGATTGGGAGAGATGGACAGACAGACGAATACAGATCAATACAGTGAAGAGGAAAGTGGCAGGTTTGATGCAGGCAGAACAGTTTGGCATTGAAGACAGAAGAGAAAAGTAAGTTACATGTTGTCAAGATAATTGTACATTTTTAAAACGAGAAGAAACATGTATGAGTATATATGTCATTATAAAATTACACACTAGTGATTGCAAAACACCATTAATCCTTGCTGCCTATATGCAAGCTCAATTTACATTGATAAGTTAATATTATTTAAGCAAAACACTGATTTAATATTTTACATACAGAAATTTTCTTATAGTTCTACCATACTGTTGCTTGTCATATCTTAACAAATGTTTAAGAAATATGCTTTAATATTGTTCAGACTAAGAGATCTTCTAATGGAGGAGGAACAACAGTATCTGAAGGAAATGGAAGAAAAAGAGGAAACTGTGTTAGAAAGACAGGCTAAAATGAGGGGCAGAGCCAAGGACCTCAGAGAGAAAAGGGAACAAGAGAGGATGCAAATTGTCAAGGAAAAACTAGACCAGAAGTTTAGGTATGCACCAATGTTGCTAAATCACCTAAAAGATTTAATACTTGCCTTTGTTAGATATATCCATTTGAGAAGAAGTAGTCAAAATATTCACCTATATTATGAAAAAGAAAAAAAGAAAAAAAAAAGAAAAACCTAACTGTTCACCCACTCACCTTTTATCTAAATCCAATATGTCCTTATACTTTTGTTTCATTCAGTGCCTTGTGAATACATGTATCTGATGTTGTTGTTTCAGAAATGAATGTGAGGAATTGCGTTCCACATTGAGTAAGCGACACCAGGATGAGGTGTGCACTGAAAGACTAGAGCAGCTTCGAATCAAAGAAAGAATAGAAGAAGAAAAGAAGCAAGAAGAGGCCATGTATGCTGACTTGTGGCATAAGGATATGCTGTCTAAGATGGAGAGAGAAGAGCGCGAGGCTCAAGCACAGCATGCTCGTAATCGTGAGGTGCTTGGAGTTATTCAGTTGCAGAGAGCTGCGCTGGAAGCTCAGAAGGAAGAAGCTATAAGACTAAGGGAAGAAGAAGCAAGGTTATTGGTGAGTGCATTTACTTAATTATTTTTTTTTTTTGTATTGACTAAGAAAATCAAGCAGAAGGAAAACAAATTTTATGTGTTTAAAGTGTCATTTTTATATAGATTCCATGATGTCCAAAATTTTGTATGTACAAGCAGGTAAGCTCAATTCATCATGTCTGCAGGCATAAGTAAACCAGTGGAAAAGTTTGACTTATTTTTTGTCACGTTTCAGGCACAACAAAACCAGCTGCGTAAACTTGAAGAACAACAGGCCCTTGAAGAAAAACGTCGTCAGCAGCAGGAAACTAGAGAAATCTATGACAGGTCTGTGAGGATGAAGATGAAGAGGAAGGCCAAGGAAATCCAAGAGGAGCTGGCATTTGACATGAAGATTCTGGAACAGTTGTTAGAGGAATCTCGCAATGAAGCAATGGAGCAGGAACAGAGAAAGGTATGTTTCACTTTTAAAGTAAAAAAGCTAGACTAGTGTATAAAATGTTAACTTTCAGCTATCAAAATGAAATAAAATGTGTATCCTTTTTGGTAAGCCAAGACTGACAACTGAATGAAAGTGTTGAAACAGTTTGTTTATTTAGTGCTATTTTCCCATTACAGAAAGAGCTGAGGGAGGAGGATAGGCGATACCGTGAATACCTGAAACAGATGTTGGAGGAAGAGAAGATCAGGGAGAGTGAAATGGAACGGTTAATCGATGAGGATGTTGAAAGAATGTGGCAGAAGCGACTGGCTCAGTGGCGTCTTGAGAAGGAGGCTAGAAAGAAGTTGCTAGAGGAAGTTCTTGCTGTTAGGAGGCAGCAGATTAATGAAAAATGTGAGTAAAAAACACATGCATACTTTATCAAATGCATTTCTGTTTTCCTTTATAAGAATAAGATAAAGTAATATTATTTATATCAATTTTTTAAATATGACCTACCAATTTTTGTTTTCATTAAGTACAATACATTTGCATTCTGATTAATTTGGAAAATTAAAATTTTCTTATTTCAGTGTCCATAAATGAAAAGAAGCAGCGAGAAGCTCTTGTTGAGCGGGAAGAGATTCTGAGAGCGATTGAGGAGAACAAACAAATTGAACTGGAACAGCAAGAAAGACAGCGTCAGAAGAATCTACAGTATCAGTCAGATCTTGAAGGACAGATGAACTATACACAACGCCAGAAACATATAGAAAGTTTAGAAGCTCAAAGGGAATATGAAAAGCAATTAGAGGCAGAAATGGCATATAGACATAAGTTAAAGGAAGAGTTGGACAGACCATATGTTGATAAAGTTCATCCCATGAGGAAAAAGACAATTATCACACAAAATCTTGGTTAAAACATGGAATTTCTAATCTGTACAAGTTAATCAACTTGAGATCTTCCTTAGATAACATTTATGGAATTTTTGGAATGAAAAAAATATGACTCTATGGGTAAGATTGTTTCATTAAAATTGAATAAGTATTAGTTGTATGACAGCAATAGGCACCCTATGTAATGATATTGCTGAAGATGTTGTATAATGACCAGTCTGCAATTGGCTTTTATCAGGTAAAAAGTATTTTGTGAGGTGAATATATTTTTACTTATAAAATTAATGAAACCAAAATGTATATTGACTACACTATGTTAAGTATAATTTTGTACATGTGTTGCAGTATTTATCTTTCTTGGGCTCAATTCTATTTTTGTTGGGTCCTCAAATTTTCCAATAATGTAAATATAATCTTATAATTTGAATATTTGTCACTAATAATTTGAATATTTGTATAATCACATATGGCATAAATATGCAATAATAAAATGAGGTTTTGAGAACTGTATTATAATCTTTTCTTTGGGCAGCAAAATACGTGTGCAAGCTCATACTAATTGTGCTTGAAAACTATGCACGTCCTTTTTATTTTATCTTCTGTTAACTCAAAAACGTAACAATCTTAGCAATGAAGAATTTTTGCAATGAATGGGAAAGGTGAAGTTAAAATAAGTGCAGTACAAGTACATTAAGTTCTTAATTGATTCAGATGGTATATACATTGTATATTAATGAAAGATATGATGAAAAATAGCTTTAAAGAAGCATGTCATCTTTTTAAAAATGGCCCTCTTAGAAAAATTCCAGTTTTGATGGGTAAATTGAGTAATACCTTAATGTTTGAGCTGTAGGCATTTGCAGGATATTCCCTTCGCAAAATATCAGACCATAAATGATATAATCTGCAATGCCCCACATGGAACAATCCTGTCATGAGTTTAAGAGCAGTCCTTTAAAAACAACATTAAGGATAACACAATAAAATTAAATATGTTCGCATTTAGCAATAAAGGACTGAGAAGAAAATAAAATATATGATAGAGTCTAAACAAATTGTGAATGCCTTTTAAGTGCGATTTCGACGCCCATTGCATTTGGTGAACCGCGGTCCGAACGATTCTCTTTTCGGACAATAACCTTTGACCTGTTGATAATGACTTGCAAGATGGCGACTGACAGGATAGAAGCAGGTTCGTTTCTAAGGGTTAAGTTTGTCGAGATGTTTTCTATGGTGATATAATGTTTAACTACGAATGCTATATTTTTTTCGGTAATTTTGGGCATAGATTGTCTGTAGAGATATTTTACCGTGTTTGTTTCACATTGAATATCTTGAAAACGAGCTTCCAGGATAACTTTCTGAGTGCGGCTGAAGCACCGGCGATAGAAAGAAACGGGACGTGTTTGTTTGAAGAATTATTTATGACTTACATTGACCAAAATGATCTGTTTCTTTCAAATCTTGGAATAATTTTTATGAAATTTAGATCTGTAAATGATACACAGAGTCCAAATCTAAGCTTAAAATGGGAAGTCAAAACTCTTAGCACCCGCCCCCCATTCCTTCTTCCCAAATGCTTTTGCCCATCCTAAGATCTAATATACGTTTATTAGATCTTAGGCCCATCCAAAGCAATCTTTACGACCAACCAAGGGATATATTTTCAAAGCAAGAAAATTTTATTGTAGTTATTTAAGTTTTATATTTATGTGTTTTTATAATTCCCAGTTGCTTAAATGTTTATTTAAAAAGCATTATGCTCTCATATATGATCAGCAAATGGACAAATTAAATTTCTTTATCAAAATATGTAATTTTATCTTTAAAACTTATAGAAACCGTGTTGAAAAAATCAAGATCTGTATCAGTAGGTTGATGTTAAAGATCATACTTGTAGTAGGCTTCTAATGATCTCATTTAGGTAGTCTATAAATATTGGTGACTGAAATAAAATAATCTGCAGTTGGAGAGAGTCTTAAAAGTAATGAGCATATGAAGTGAAGTTGGTGCATTGCATTATAGAGTAAAAACATCAAATAAGCATAATTAAAATATCATTTAATCCCTGTCTTTTGTTTCTATGCATCTCATCTTAATGAAGGCCTCATTAGAGAAAACTTCACCAAAAATCCAAATTTTGCATATCTGCTAAGGAAAACAATGTAGATAACATGGTGGTTATTTCAATATTATCTTAAGCTTTCAGTTAATTGTAGTGAAATGAAGCATGGTTGTACTGTAAACATCAATGATAACAAGTCAGATTTAGCCAAAAGGTTCCACATCCGCGATGTGTCATGTGGATTCAGTGCTACACAAAGAATATTGATCTTGTTCATTTGTTCTTGCCAAAGAGCAGTGTGCCGTGGCCACTGTTGAAAATCTCAGTCATAATTTGAATTTCATTTGTACCTAGCTGAGGACACTAGATTCATCAATTTAATGTCACTCATCTAAAAACCTGTAAGCATAAGTATGCTCTGTTTTTATAGCTGATGAGTGGATAGAAATATTAAAGCTGGCTTTCTGTCTGATATCAAAACCTTTATATAATTTTCAAACCCGCATTTGTAAAGTTGCTTTTGAATGCAAAATCGATGATGTATTGTCATTTAGTAGTGATCTTTTCATTAGTAGAAAAAAGAAAGAGAGATAGGAGTGTCCTTATTTCACCTGACTGATGTTATTTCATACACCTGGGTATTGTTAAAAAAACAGTGCGGTTCTGGTTATGTGACATAATTGTGATTTGCTTCACTGCTTTGAAAAAAGGGCAGATGCACTGATTGTCGTGATGGGTTGGCATTGTTTTTATTGTCCATGAACTTTTGTAGCATCTTTTGACAGAAGCAGTAATTAGACGTCAGAACTCAAAGCGAGCCGCACTGACTGTTAAGTGATTTGCTTCATTATATCCCTTCCTCATAAATCAAATGACATGTTCAATATCCTGGATGGAAAAAGTAATACAGGAGAGCTTGTGATGTGGAGAAAAATTATGGTACATGCTAGTTTTCTCTATACTCCAGAAATGACAGGCACCTGTCACACTCCAACAAAGGGCTTATATACAGCTATAGACTTGTTAAATTAAAGTCTGTATATTCTGGATCAATGAACGTTCTTACCCTGCTTTCAGATACATTGCAGTTTTGTTAGCTGATACATATGCTGACTTGGGTAGAGAAGGAAATAGTAGCTGAAGTGCCTACTTGGTTGCCCTCCGGCAACTAGAGATTGGTGAGTCTTTTTAATAATAAATGTGAGATTTTCAAATAGACAATGTACATACTAATAACATGTAATATCATATCATACTAATGGTAGCATTTAATTATTGAGTAGTTTAGTTAATCAGGGTTGCATTATACTTGGTGTGCTGAATTTTTTGGTTCTGATTGAATTTATTTATGTTTAGGTATGCCTTTATTATTTTTAACAAATTCTTTGTGGTAAGTTCTTTATGTGGCATCTAAGTTATTTGTAATGTATATAATGGAATGCATTTTTTCTATTACTCAATGAATAACCCCATTTAACATATGTACAAAAGTTAAAAATTATTTTTTGTGAGCAGGGAAAACAGAGTGAATTCAAACAGTTACTGTACCTCAGTATTTATGGGTAACATATACAGAAGTTCAGAGGACTGCTGCATTGCATCCATTACCACTTATAAATTACTGCAAAGTGTTATTAACAGTTTGCCATTGTCATCTATATTTGTACTGTTAACACTTTTTTTTTTGAATAAGTGTCCTGTCTTACTGATTGCACTGTATGAATTTCTTAATCAGCACAAGGTGCAAAAAGTTACACAATAAATGAATAAATTCCTTAAGCATTTATGTACTGTAACTGTAAGTATTAACCAGTAATTAATTATGTTTCAAAATATATGTATATAAAATCAATCATGGGACATTGAAGATATAACCTTGGTTGTTGCCAAGCTGCTTTTCTTTGGAAGCAGTTGCTACTATACACTTTGAGTGGTTTGCACTGTAGATGAGGGCCTTTCTTTACTATTGATTAAACCATAAACATATTTATACTGTAACCAGTGGATAATACATAGACTTTGTTTGATTACAGAGTTTTTAATTATATTCATCTGTGCAACAGTACTGTTTTGTTATCTCCACTGACAACTGAAAGACACTATCAGTGAGCTGGGGCATTGTATGTTGTATAAACAAACAAAATGTTGATGCATACAGTGCATCGTTATACTTTATATTTAGAATCCTTCTTCAGTTGTAAATGATAAATTATATAGAGCATTGTATGGGGGTTAGATAGCAGGGTGAACATTGAACTAGTGATGGATGTAGCAAGTGATAGCACTTTAGCTGGGGTGAAGAGAGGAGCTTGTGATTGATGGGTAGGTGAAATTAAAGACTCATAATAAGCCACAGTTACTATGTACTAGCTATATAATATAATATTTACAGTGTGGTACAGAAAATAACAGAACCTTCTTAATCAATACAACACACATAGTGGAATCACAATGAATGTTTGATTTATTGATTTATCAAAGTTTTGGTAAAAAGAAAAAAAGGAAAGAAAAAGTTATGTTCCTAAAAAAGAAACCTGTGATTAGAATAGCAGGCATTCTAATTGAGAGAACTCATTAAATAAGTTTGCAGTGGCCTTGTTTATATTTGTGTTCCTGCTTGGTAATGGAGTTAGTGTTGTTTGACAGGAAACCACTTAATAGAGTTGCCACAGTCAGTGTAAGAGTACCTCTTGGTTGGTCAGTCCCATGGTTATGATTTTAATTAACGTCCACTTTAACAACCACTTTTATTAGTTATTTTGTCCCAACCAATAAAATACCTTGCCCACTTGAAAAACATGGTGATATTATATATTGGCATAACATTATTTGTTTATTTGTTCATTTATTTCATTTTCATCATCTGATCAATATATATATTTTATTATTATTATTATTTTTTGCATATAGAAGGTTCTGTTTTCTTTTTCCATTACTTTCACATAACATGACATAGAGTAGAATATATACAAAAAAGACTTTTTCTGTTATAATGTGTACCTAATTTTATAAGGAGATATTTATTATTATTTTTTTGAGTGCATTTTTTTTCCATTTTAAGTGTATAGACTAAGGTGTTATAGGTTTAGTCTGATAACTGGATCAGAAGCATTTGGCTGTAAAGCTGTCTCGTCACCTTTTCTATGATCAAACAAGTGTAAATAATGGATATATATATATATATATATATATATATATATATATATATATATATATATATATATATGAAAATATGCTCAGCCATGCTTTGTGTTACCTGCAGTTTAAATGATAGCAGGAAGTATTTGATGTTTTATCCAAATGAAGACCTTAAAGTGAGACACTTCCTTGTTTTTCAGGTTAGAGAGTGGTGCAAATATATGGAAATACAAACAAGTCTATTTTTGTTACCAAACATTCCCTGTGCTCTCATAAGGAAAAAAGAAGCCTGAAAATGAAGATGAAGCCATGCTGGAAAAAGGAAAAACCAATTGGTATGTAATAGATGTAAGGTTTTTTTTGGAAGGATTTTAAGGATTTTTGCTATTACCATCAAAGAGTTCTCATTAGAAATAGAAATAGATTGTACAATATTTAATGTAGCCTAATAATTTTGTAAGATATAAATTTTGATAGCAGATTGCACATGTTGCCACATTATATGAAGACAACTTTCCTGATTAAAAAAACAAAACAAAACAAAAAAACACCATATGTATATAAGTGTCCTTAACAGGTGATTGAGATTTAACTACACAATGTGGTGACAACCTGTCAGTCTTCCTGTCACCTCCTGTCACCTGAGCAGGTGCCTGTCTCAGCAAAGCCAGCGTTTATATCCATCAGGGACTGGTGACACAAAACAACTGGAAGTTGGTCTAAACTTTTAGCTGGAAGTTGGTCTAAACTTTAAGATCAAATTTTAGTCTACTTTGACCCCAAATAAATCTGTAATACCCTAAATATTGTGCCAGTGCTACATGTAGAACAATAAAGAAATTGTGTCAGACATTGAGTACTTGATTTAACTGAAGAAGACCAAATTTTTGCTTCTAACACCCCATTTCCATAGATTTTTAGATCGATCTATCCCTGTGGGGAGTCTCACTAGATTACTGTCAGCTTGGCCGGTTTAAGCGTCTGTCCCGCCTACCAGAAGCTGTAAGGGGGTAATTAACTATAGTGCGCGCTCGTTTGACTGCAATTTAGCGTGAACCCCCAGGGAGTTAGGTCGATCTAAATTTTAATCCCTGGATCGATCTAAATCTCTGGAAATACACCCTAAAAGTTTAGACCAATTTCAGGTCCAGGCTATTTTTGAGCCTTATTAATAACATGATACATAAAGTATATATATATATTATTATCTGGAGGGTGGATGTATTGTCATCATCAGGTGACAAATTTATATTGGGTGAGTGGGTTTCCATCAAGCTTTAGTATCTTTATTTAATTTAAGCTAGCTATCTGGTTGTGTTAATGATAGATAAGACCCATGCATACCCTTTAAAAAACTTCCTATAGTATGTCCTATGGGACTCTAGGATTTTTAATCAGACATCCTATAGGATTTCTATCCAGGACATATGTCCTATATGACCTCATGTGAAAATTTCCTTACAGTATGTATATATATATATATATAGTTGTTTCAGCTTTAAAGGACAGTTAATGTGATTTTTGCATGAACAATTTGAATTACCAAATTTTCCTGATATCTGTTACAATATTATATTAACTTTAGGTCACCACTGTACAGAGTTTCAACATAAAAAAAACTTATAAATAGGTATTTTAAAATTCACTATTTCTTCTCATATGACTTTTTTTGTTTGAGATAGTGATATATAATATTGGGACTATATATCTTTGAACTTGCTGTGTCCTAAGTGAGTGAAGTCAGGTGCCCTACTAGTACCTGGCTGTGGGTGTCTCATAGATTAAACAATTCAGTTATTGTCTGGCACCTAGCAAGCACCTGCTACCATTGTACCTGAGATAAGAGTTCAAAATCATCCATACAAGCTGCTTTATGTCAAAAAATACATGCACCATGATTCTTGTGTAAAAGTTGAAAACCAGTATATAAGGTATCTTACAGATTTAATTATTTATATGCATAATGAAGCCAACCCTGATAAATTTGTGTAGAGCAATATGGCATCTTTTCAAATAGATCTCCGTATACTATACTGGAGTCGTAATGTTCTTGATGCAGTAATGTGGGGAGCCAGCAGAAAATAATAGATAACAGAGCTAGGATCAGATTACTTTCAAGACAGAAAAAAAGTAATTTTGTTTGATTTTGGCATTTTACCTAGCTAACTTGGCATTGTGGTTTTGATTGCATTAACTTTTAATTATATTTGCCTGTGGTTACTTAGCATTGCTCAAAAATGGACTGTTTTGCAGGATTCCATATTGTTTATTACATTGTTATAAAATATAATTATTATGCAAATTATCAACATGTTTGTTTGGATCATATTTTTCAATACTATTGAATTTAATATATTTCTCAGTAGAAAGTAATTCTTTCTTCATTATTCTGTTTGTTTGTTAATATTCTAGCGTGGTTTAGCTACACTGATGCTACAACAAATTCTTGGAAAACGTGACTCATCAGAGAATGGGCCCCAGTTAGGTGGTTCTTTAATTTGCATGGTATTATTTGCATAGCCCTATTACTACTGATTTATCTGTTTGTCTCTTCATCATGAATATGCCACATCCTGTTTAAATGTATTATTCTATTATCATGCACTAATTCTATCTCCCAACCTCATAGTCCACCCACTTCCCACCCACACACCCACCAAATCTCATATACACGTGCACACAGACACACACATGTACACACACACATGCACATGTAACCCACTTTCTATTTCAAATTCATTCTTGACCAGGATAAGCCAAAGGGAGTTGCTCGATCCGCTCCATTTGCCACTCAGTCATACCATTATGTTGTTTTGCATCCTGGGTGTTTCTCTTTTGACTTTAATTCTTTTATTTCTGAATCCTTCAAGCAGTAACAGGAGTAACCTTTCATCAAGATCTTCACATCTTAGTGAGATATATATGACTGTAGCTCAACTCTCAGTCCTAGGAGATCCACTAATGACAAGATTTTATTTATTAGCCAGGATGTATTTAGCATAATATCCTCCATATAAATTGCTAGACCAGTTAACCTTGCCATTTAACCTCTCCTCTCTCTCACACATACACACAGTGTCAGTAATTATCTCAGTTCAAGGTGTGGGACAGGTGAACAGTCTGTCGTATGTGGTGAGGGGAGTGACATCCTGCTAGATGTGATTTAGCGCTGTCCTGGCTGTACTTGAGGTACAATGAAGCTATACAAACGGGTTGCGGTCACACTTGAAGAAAAACGTGAGTTGGCTATCCAAGGGGGAGATCATTTTACAGTGGTTAAACATACCTGTCTGCTCATACATCTAGGAAAATGTGAAGTGTGGTATTTTGTAATAAACATACATAATGTGTGATGAATCATTGCTCTCACATATCTGGCTGACACATATGTATTGATCATATTCAGTACAACAGTATATCTTCTATTATATATATACATGTATATATACTAGCTGGTATGTGTATGAGTACTACACAGGCTGCATGTGACTTCAGGTAGGAGTATATATGTAGGGTGGTTATTTCATAGATAAGCCGTATTAAGGATCTGCCCCAAATTTAACAGTTATATCACACATGCTTTCTGCAAAATTATCCATTAATAATTCACCAGTCACCAATTAGTCTCCTCTGTCATAAAACCCATAAAGATCACTTATGCTGAGTGGTTAATGGATCGTTGATTGCCAGATTCTTGAGAGAATTTACAGATTTATTTCCTTCACTGTCATTTAGGTGTGTCTTTATTTACATCCTAAGCTTGGGTGTGATAAAACAAAAGTCATGTGCATCTGTATAATGCATATGTGAGTATCATACCTTACTTCACCTAAGTAGGTCACTTTTGTGTCAGGTGTATTGTAAAAGCCTGCCTCACAGACTAGATATTATAATGCTGATAACCCATTTATACAGCATTCACATTGGTCTACTCATAACAGTGGGTGGTGTAATATAATGGGAACACAAAGGGTTGATCCTCAGCCTTATCTGTTAGACACTACTATAGCATATATCACAAATAATGGCCATAGGGTTCAGACATACCAGACAACCAGAAATGTTAAATACCACACAGATAATCCAAATAATACTAAAGCCCAGACAAACAAAGAAGGTTTAAATCCACATGAACCCAGACATTCATCACCATGCCCAAGAAAACTTAATGTCATAATTAATCTTCGAAATTTCCAACTCTTTGTATATATATTCATATTGAGCACACTCTGTCTTTTCTTTACAAGCTCCCTTTGTTTTCAGGTGCTATTTTCTTATTGATGGCGTGTTAAACAATATATGGATCCAGACATTGTGAATACTGTTACCTTGGCAACCCTGCATAGCTCACAGATAAACTGTTTGGGCATATATGTAATAGGTTCTACATACATGGGTGTGTTACAAATAAATAGATCAGATGGTTGGATCTGCCCCAGTGTGGAATGCTGTGAGGTGTTAGACCTTCCTAAGAATTGGATATTTTGTCATTTAGATCCCATTACAACTCTGATAAGTGAAAGCTGACATTTTTGAGATTTTGTCAAATCTCCAAATAGGCCACCTTAGAATTCAGAAAACAAATTTAAAAAAATGTACATGTATTTGATCAAGTTCTCAAGCCAGTGAATATTTTCTAGATGTGCGGAAATCAGCAGTGTAATATCCAGACATCCACACATGTATATTTCTTTGATTTAAATTGGAAATCCCACTTCAAGCAGCCCCAGGCGCCATTTCTTTTTACTATTTTCCTTACAGTCCAAGATCATGTCTGAACACTATAAATATCTGGTCATGACTATTTCCTGGAATCCTCTCAGATCCCCAGTTACCTTTTTCCAAGGCTGATGGACACGCTGTTATTTTGTTAGAGCTATATGGAATTAGGCCCAGCTGTCTAATAGATCACCTCATGTTACTGGATGGTATGCAACACTACTCTACTTTCAGTTAAGAATTTTTTTTTTTAAATAATGGTCAAATTTGATTTTTTTTAAAGAAAAGCTGGATAATCTTTTTTTTATACCTCCCCCCCCCCCCCCCCCCACGCACACAATTGAAGTGCTTTTCTTTGTGTCATAACTGATGTCCAATATTTAAAAAAGAATCTGATCTTCATTGTGAAGTTTAGGTGAAAAAAAAGAAGAATACTAAATCTTAATGAGAAAACATACTATAGGTTGTTTTGAATGTGCATACTGATAGAAATAGGTAATAAGTTCTGGAAGTAGTACAGAAAGCCAAGAAAGTGTGTTAATTGTGGTTTTTTTCATCATGCCAAAAGCCCATATAGGATGCCCTCTGAGGATTGATGAAAATTAAGATATCTGTAAAGTCCACTTCATATTCGTAGATATTTATGGATGGTCAAATGTTTTTATGGTAGGCCAGGGTAGAAATTGAAAGGAAGCCTAGAAGAGCTTTACTGTCAAATGTTTCCTACAATAACTGTTTTTGAATATGCAGTTTAGTCTGCTTGTCTCGGGAGCCAGCTTTGGAGAAATGTTCTCAAATCTAAAAATTACAGACTTCAGTAACATAATTCTGTTCAGAAATATTACCAGTAGATATTTTTCATTGCTTAACTTAAATAAAAAAAGGCCAGTGTTATGTAAGCTAGTGCATCTCCTGACTATGTATGGTATAATAATTATTAAGTCATGCAATGTTCAGTTTAAGGAATGGCATTGCAGTGTTCTCCCCAGGTTATTATATTTAATTATGTCTTAATTGTTAGAAAATATATTCGCTGCCATTTCAATTTCCCAAATTAAGCACTTAATTGTGATGCAGAATTTTCTACTGACACGTATTAATCTTGAACTGCTCTCTTCTACTTCATGTTAAACTACTATTGAAGAAAATATATAGGTATGTTCATGCCATTAATTTGCTTCAAAGTTCCCTTTTTTCTGTAATCTAAAACAGGAAGGGAAAAAGAAAGTATTTCTTACCTTTGTCTGTTCCTTCCATCAGTCTAATTACTTTTACTTTCTTTAACATTTAATCAAATATTGTGCCATTACCCCAACTTTATGACTACCTATCCAACTCCCAGAAGAATTCATAAATCTATTGAATTTGTAATTAGATTTAGGTGTTGGCAAGGTAAGCATGCAATACTGTGGGCAGACCCATCTGTAGTGGTATATATATACAGTGGAAGGTATACTTTCAAGGATAAGTTTCTGGGGAAAATGGATGTGCCCTCAAAGTTCTTCATTATTTGGCTGCCAAGTTGGCTGGTTGCATTGATATGTATTCAGTTTGGATAATTACCTTAGTTTGGTTGCAGAGGCTGTGGTCAGTTTTCATGTTTTTTGGAACTGACTGAGTTTCACACATTGGGAGAGGTGTATGGCTGTAATTTCTTAGGATCTTGACATGAAAATATTCTGATATACAGTCTTATGGAAGAAACTGATGTGGAAAGATCATGCAGTTAAATTCTAACTAATGTTCATGAGCTGCTACATGTATTTGCTATTTATACATGTAGGATAATCAAAGGAATTCCGTAAACAGATTGGAAGCAGTTGCAGCTTTACTTTCTGAATTGTTTCAAGGACAGTTAAAACAAAAAGAAAAAGTGATAAAAAAGTAAATAATTAACAACCCTTGAGATTTACTGATCCATGACATCTGTTGCTGCCAGCATTGATTTCATATTCTGGAAGGAAAGTCACTGAAGTGATGATATTTTTCTCTACCAAAACCCAGCATCTACTTTGTGTAGTGTATGTTCAAGTACCAAGTTGAAAATAAAGGCAGTGATTGACAATGCCTTGCTGGAGGTCAAATCGTATCTATGCTGCTCCTGTTCCATTTGAAGGTGAGACTGCAGGGAGGATGTACATATTTTTACACAATCTGAACAATTTTGTTGGCTGCCAGTGGAAGGAAAGTTGGTTTCATCCCAGATAGCCCATAGTCTTGTTACTTTGTAAATATGAAAGAAGATTTTGCAGGATTTGGAAGAAAGTGATACTTAAGACACTTTCTTATCTTGTATGATGTCATGCTTTGTTTTAGATTGTGTACTGATGGGGTATGTTTTGAAAAAAAAAATTTCTCAGGTTGTGAATTTATCATATTGAAGTTGATGATTATGAATCTCCCTTTGGGAAAAAAATAGTTGTTGTCCTCCAATGATCTTAGGGATTTCTGTGTGTTAAGCTTGTGTTTTTAAATGTGTAACTTTCATATTTGAAGCAGATTCTTATGGACCAAACAGAAATATTACTGTATATAAATTTTTTTTATATATTTTCAGAATTAGAAAGAAAAATCAAGTCCAACGATTCGGCATACAATGAAAGCTTTAATTATGCAGTGAGTATCCTTTCTGTACTTTGAAGAAAATGCACCAGATACCGTTTGTTGTGTCATTTGTAAATCAGTTATCTCCAGTAAAGCATGTGATATATATATATATATATATATATATATATATATATATATATATATATATATATATATATATATATTTTTTTTTTTTTTTTTTTTTTTCAATTTTCCAGAACAACTACATCTGTACCTCCAAGTATACCTGGTACACATTCCTGCCAAAGAACCTGTTTGAACAGTTTCAGAGGATAGCCAATTCTTATTTCCTTGGCTTACTCATCCTTCAGGTAAGCTATTTGTTACTACTGTGTCACCAGTGAATGTTTTAGGACAACTTATGAGTTGAATTTTACATTGTCACAGAGGTTAACATTTTATAGATAAAACACATTATTATCTCATTACATTTTTGATCGTGTAAAACCTGATAAACTTAATGATAGAAATAAGTTGAAGACTGGAACCATCATTGCTGATGGTGTCTGTTCTGACTCCAGTGATTTAATATAATTTAAAATTAGGATTTAGAGCACAGTACTTGTGTTGAAAATAATAGAGTAACAGAGCCAATTTTCCAGCAGATTATAATTTTCTGGTCTGCTCAGCACAGCTATTTCAGGACACAGACTCTTATTGATTGTGTTTCAGGTATCTATGTGTGACACCTCACCGCTGAATTATTCATTGCGGCATAACATTGATTTACTAAAAATATGCTGATGAAAACAGATTAACTAACATTGTACTGGTATTTACATTTTTAGGGGTTTTAAATCCTCTTTTAAAAGACCTTGGTTTAGAAATAACATGGCCTGTTTTTACTTGCCAGTGAGGAGATGCATGTTTCTGTTTATATTTTTTCGGGATTATTTATTTTTAAAAGAATGATAAAAGAATTAAAGAGACACAAAAGATTTATTGTTTGATTTGAGCAATTATATTAATTTTGAGATGTGCTTACTATTTTTGTAGCATGTATAGTACTTTGTCATGAAATAATTTATAAAAAACATACTTGGGAGGTTCATTATGTTTACTTGAAATATAAATAAAGAGCATGAAAACTATATTACATATTTGTTTAATATTCTTTAGTTAATTATTTATAATTACATCATAATGACAGAAGAGTTTCATTATCTTCCAGTTTAACATCTTCAGTGTTGTATTTAATTTTATTTTATGGTGAATACTTTAATTAATGGTTTCAGTATTTTGTTTACTAAGTTTTGCATGGATATTTTGTTTCCTGTTTTATAGCTCATTCCACCGATCTCGTCCTTGACTCCAGTCACGACCATTGTGCCGCTGGCAGTTGTACTTACAATCACTGCTCTCAAAGATGCTATTGATGACATAGTAAGTTGTTACGTATACTGGTGCTGCTCACCGTGTGATTCACCTCGGCATAGGGAGGCCTGCTTGCCCGGAGAACTGCGTACTACTAGAGTTAGTCTGAAGTCAAAACCAACAGCTTATAAAAATGGATATTTTATGTGAAAAAGGGTGTTTGTTGGGAATACATGTCATTCCAACTAATTACAGTTATACTCATAAATCCATTTTTATGAATCTGGGTTTTTGAAAGAAAAAAAGATTGCCAATTTAGACATAACTTTCTGAAAAAGACTCTTGTGGTTTTGGCTTTTGATTTTACCTACTTTGATTGAGTCTGTTTCAGATTATTGACTGTGTAGGGGAATAAAAAAATCATTAAAAGAGATTTGTATGTATCAGCTTTGTGTTACAGCAAATCTGTTTTGTGCTTTCGAGCAGTTCCTCTGTTGGCTCTATACACAGTATTCTGGCACGGACATCAGGCAAAGTTTCCCTCCAGTTTTGGGTGTGATGGTGGTTTCCGAACTGTTCTTCCCGAATTGGTGTCAAAACCGACCAGCTCCTCAAAACTTGCCATTCCAGATAATGGCCGCTTGACTACTTGCCATAGAACCTTACAGCACTAACTGATACACCTACATATTCTTTCCCATTACTAGCTGCTTCCCTGGGTCTCCTCACTCTCCCCACTAACCACACTGGTTCCTCTTGCTACTGTACTCGCTGTTTCTGCTGTCAAGGAAATGTTGGAAGACTTAGTGAGTGGACTAGAGAATGTTGTTGTATACTTTGGGTCCATTTCGCCAAGCTTCTGTTTGCCTGTTGTCTGTTATGTTAAATGTTTGACTTAAATGTTTTGTGTTAACTGAACTAGTATTCTTATGCATCTCATGATTGCAATTCTGAATGTCCAAAAGAAAAGATGAAAAAATATTGAATAACATCTCAGCATTATTTCAGTTTGTCATACTTGTATATTGCCTTCTGTTTTGTTTCCCAAGATATTAATCATGTTTAGTTTTCTTCTAATTTTCTTGGACATTTGCTTGCAAAAATGACCCTGTTGTCCCATTAAGTTTAATCAATTGTGGGAAATCCATTTATTGCATGTTAACATATAATGTAGCAGAAAGCTATGGATCTTCATGTGTTTCATATGTAGGTTTCCTCTCCATTGACATTACATGCTTTTCTACTTATATTGTGAAAACAAACTCAAGATATTTATTGCACTTCAGTGATGTTATTTAGAAATACATTGGGGTCACTCTGAGGTCAAAAGTTCACACAGATAATTTGCTCAAAATCATTTTGGACCTTCCATACAGTGTTACAGCAGCATCATATATCATGTCGGATATAAACTTAGCATCAAATGAATATTACGTAAATGATAACGAGACTTTGTGGTTAATTATAAATTACAGCAGACCTTGATGCTGTCTGGACGCAATTGTTTATTCAGGCTTTTGTAGCATGGTGAGGTAACATCATGTCACCAGGGAATCATTAGATTTATATATAACCAGGCTGTTTATGGGTAGGTGAGGGAGTTGAGAATAAACTGGGCAGGTAGATGTAGAATGAAATGGAGAGTCACCTTCAGCACTTGCAAACTTGGGGTACAGACGAATAGTAGAAATTATCAATACCTTGGGGTTAGTCAGAGTTTCAGAGTTCATGCAGATCATTAAGGCTCAAAACCATTTTATGCTTGCCAGACAGGTCCATTTAGAAAAGTCCTGATATGGTCACAGCAGGCATATCCAGCAGGGGCGGGTCCAGCAAGGGGGGATCCAGAGATATTTTCTGACGGTCTTCCAAATTGTCCTTGTTGATCCATTCTCCATTTTTGACTGTCTTCTGGCAGAAAAAAATAGATACTCGTCAATGTAAACTTGCAAATCTGACTGTCTTCCGGAAGACCCAGAAGACGGTCTCTATCCCCCCTGCATTGATATATATAAGCATTCACATATTTGGGGTGCAGTTGTATTGGTGCAGATGATCAAATTTGCCAAACAAGTGTCAGTAAATTTTGTATTAGACTTAACATGTCACCAGCACCTGCTTTGAAATAGACTTGCACATTTAAACTTCTTTTCCTTGGGTTTCAGTTGTCTAAAAAATCAAAACCATCTTATCCGTTTTTTGCTTGATTGTAAGTCTTTTTAGCTGAAGGTTACATGGGTATCTAGGAAAACAAGATTACCTTCAGCTGGAATGAGTTTTAGGGAAGCTTTTCTATCACGTTGGAAAGAATTGCTGGTCAGCCTGATAAAAAATCTTATTGATTTTGGTCAGTCCCTTGCTGTCCTAAGCAGATGCTTATATGAGAAGCAAACATTTACCATTAGCGTTTTGTGAAACATTCCAAGGGTCCAGTTAAGATCAGTCTTGATAATCTATAGAAGTGGACTGAGTGTCTGTATTACTTCTCTCCACAGTGAATTTAATCTTTCTTTATTGATTATAGAATGCTCTGGACTAAGATGCATCAGTGTGAATTAATGCCAGATGTTTCTGCAGAAATTGGAAATCTGGCTTGCTCACTAATGTGATGAATGGTAGTTCAGACTTCACTGTAATTTCAATACCAACCCAATGAAGACTTCCAGATCCCAAAAATTGGATTTTATTTTTATTTCATTTACTTCCAACACACTTAATGCAAGGTCTAGCTTCTTTCCACTTTCTATAAAACTACAAATTAAATACCCCACTTTGAATAGCACCAAACAATTGCTGTATAAAATCTTTACTGCTTTTACTCATAGCAAATTATTCACAATTCTTCCAGGGAAGGAGGGAGTTGTATCTAATTCAGTCTTCATGTCTAAACATTAAGGAGCAGATCCATAGCTCTTTGTGTACTCTTCATTACATATTTTTATATGATTTATTGATCTTATTATTACCATCATTTATTTCTGCGTTGCAAGCAAGGCAGTTTTATTTAGACAATATGGTCTAGATCCAAAGATGTCAATAATCCATGTGCACTGTACTACAATCATTTCCCTTAGATTGAATTGTGTCTAACGTTAAACATACATGTATGAGTAAATATTGCGTATTAATTAACTAACAAGTTTTTCACTGAGAAAGTATTGGATTGTTTAAGCTTTATTGCCACAGTTAAGTCAATGTGCGTTTTGTGTTGGATTATTTCAGCAAAGGCACAGAAGCGATAACCGGGTCAACAACCGGCTGTCGTCTGTGTTACGTAATGGGCAGCTCGTGGAGGAGCGCTGGCACAAAGTGGAGGTTGGGGATATCATCAAAATGGAAAATAATCAATTTGTAGCGGTAAGTTCCCAATATACACAATCTTACCATCCTTCTATTTCACTGGCAGAAGCAAGATGTTGTCACTGTCAGGGAATTGATCTGGCCTTTTTCACTGAGTGTTATCTTAATATTGGACGATTTTTATTGATGATTAATTATTCATATTTGTTGATTCAGGCCGATTTATTGCTGCTCTCAACAAGTGAACCAAACAGTCTGTGCTATATTGAAACAGCAGAACTAGATGGGTATGTTTTGTAAATCGATTCCACAGAAATCCATTATTTCTATGTTATCATATTTGGGGTAATAGAATTATATACAGCCCAGGATATGAGGATGTAAAACTTGATTTTCTCATAGACAAAACGATTCTTCAGACGTCAAGCTCTCTTGCTATATTCTCCCACTGGTTGATGATGATGATGTTTGAGTTTCCAGTTCATAAAGGGAATGCCTTTGTAAGCACATTAATCCTGATTTCTGTAGATTTTAACTTATTGGTTCTATCTACAGGGAAACCAACCTGAAGGTCAGACAGGCTCTGCCAGAGACGGCAGAAATGGGGAATGATATTGGAGAGCTCAGTAAATTTGATGGTGAGACATGGCATGCAGAATTAGAGAGTCCAGAATCAGGCCAGCATGGAATTGTTTGATAATAATTTAAAAAATAAAAAAGAAAAAATATGAATTTTTATGGATTTGGTTAAAATTACAGAATAAGTTGAAACAGTGGAAATACCTGTAGAAAAATGGCCTTTTGGTGCAATTTAAAAGTAGGATACAAGAAAAAAAATTTTTGCAAAATGTTAAGTTCACTTTTTTATTTACTGTAGTGTTTATTTCATTTTCCAATGTATGCCTGTTATGCTTAAAGGCAAATTGGGGTTGTGGATAAAAAGTGGGTGATTACTTGATTTCGATTATAAATATTTAAGCTTCAATGATTATAAAAAAAAAAAAAAGATCAGTGGATATTAATGTTATTTGGGAAAACTGAATTCTAAAAAGAAAGTGACCTGGAAAATGCAGTTGGATTGTGTTTGGAGTGAATTAGTTGCAAAATCACAATCAACTGACATCTCACTGACTTTTAGTTCATTATTGTGTGTCTGCTTTAAGAACCACCGTTTAGGTATTCATATTTTATGTCTTTGTTGGTTTGTTAGTTTACAGCCTAACTCAAAAAGTAATGGGTGGAGTTGATTAAACTTATAAGATCAGAAATTGGCTAACTAATAATCAGTTGCATTTATTGATGACTCCTTGATTAATTAGCTATATAATTACTGAAGGAACTGATTAATAATGAGAGGTCAGTTCATTTGGTGTGCCTTAATTAGTTAACATTATTCTGTGTATGATTTCAATAGGAGAGCTGACCTGTGAAGCCCCCAACAACAGGCTGAACAAATACGAGGGCACCCTGAAGTGGAAGGGGGAGGCGTATTCAGTGGATAACGACAAGATCCTCCTCCGTGGTTGTGTACTAAGAAATACCATGTGGTGTTATGGGTTGGTGGTGTTTGCTGGACAAGACACAAAACTCATGATGAACTGTGGAGAGAGCATGTTCAAAAGGACCAATATTGATCGTCTCATGAATGTTCTCATTATTAGGGTGAGTTTTAGTGAGTTATTATGGCACAGAAACAAAATGAATACTGAGGTGTCCAAATGGGATGAGGCAGCAGCATTTACCTTAGAATGGCAGCCAAACTTCCTCTGTTTGATCTAATCCATTTGACAGGCAGTATGATGATTATTTTGATGGTATTTTATTGAGAAAGAATTACAACTTCAGTATCTTCAATAGAATTGAAGAATTCTTTTAACTTTATATAAAATACACGGGAAAAGATCTCATGTTTTCCTAAAGTTCTGAATAAATGCATTTCCAGATTGTGATTGCCTTATGCTGTTTGTGCCTTATTTGCACGGTGGCATTTGGTATCTGGGAGTCGACCACAGGCTTTGACTTCCAGCTCTACTTACCCTGGGAGGACTATATCCCGGGGACGTCCCTGGGGACCACGTCTGGCACCAAAGAGGCTGGGGCCACGGTGCTGGCACTCATGGTTTTCTTCTCATACGTCATCATATTGAATACAGTGGTGCCAATCTCTTTGTATGTCAGGTGAGAGAAATTAATTTCACAAAACATCTTTGATTAAATGCATCATTTTTAGAAGACTGTTATAGCAGTCGTTATCACAACTGTTCCTGATTAACAATCCCAAATAACATTTATGCAATTTCTTTCTCAAGCAGGTATGAGATTTTTCAGACTATTGGCAGATTTCTGGCTTTTTTGGAGCCAAAAATATCATTGGCTTAGGCGTTCCCCTGGACCCCACGCCATCTTTTCTGATTTTTTCTCTTTATTATATGGCAGTCTTATCCCTGCTCAAGGAAATAATCATGTTCCTCTTCCTGAACGTTGTCACACACACTTCTGGAATTTAGATATTTTGGTGTATTTTTTCCCATTTATTCATTTACTGTTCCACCCAGAGTTCATATTGGAAGTATATTATTTAGTTTTGTACTCTGTACATTATGTGAAAGCCTGCTGCTCCCTTCCAGTGTTGAGGTGATACGTTTTGTGAACAGTTGGTGGATCAACTGGGACAGGAAGATGCACCACCCCCAGTCTGACACCCCAGCCAGGGCCAGGACTACCACTCTCAATGAAGAATTAGGCCAGATAGAATATATTTTTTCAGACAAAACTGGGACACTTACACAGGTAATTGATTTTTTTTTACCACCATTGTGAGCAATAGGGGTAGAAATGGTTTTACCCCCCCCCTCCACCCACCCATCCACCCTCCTGTCCCGTAATATTTGAAGATAACTTGTATTGGCTGAGGAAAAATTCAGAAACCTTTGTTTTTAAGTTTTTGTGAAAGCCTGATTGGGTGGCTTAAAGTGACAAACCAAGCCTATTTAAATAAAATGTGTTGCTTTCTAAGATTTTCAAACAGCCTATTATGTTTTATTTGATTTTGTTTTCCTTGCACTTGAATGAACTGTTGATTTGCATTCATTTATTCCAGAACATTATGACATTTAATAAATGTTCTATCAATGGGAAAATGTATGGCGACCCCTATGATCCTGATGGCAACCCCATGGAAATATGTGATGTGAGTCAGAAGTATATGTTAGAATTATTTATTAAACCTAGGAAATTTGCTGTTTTCAATTCTCTTTTAACAAGTATCCCAATTTAAAGGCTGTGACAAATTACTAGAGAAAAAAGTATGATGTAACCTATTATAAATTGTAAAGTGATGCACTCTGCAAATGATGTTTCTCATACTATAAATGTCTATTTGCTCTGATGAGTAGGATTTGTTGGTTACCCATTTTGATAGATAACAAACAATTGGTTTTACTGAAACATCTGTGCTGCAGCTAGACATTGGAGTTCTGCCACTTAACAGTTTCATTTCTCCTCTTCCAGAGAACAAAAGTTGATTTTTCTGGAAACCATATGTATGAGGAATCTTTCGAATTTCATGATGTCCGACTCCTAAAGGCAGTTCAGAATAAAGATCCCCACGCAGATGAATTTTTCCGTGTTTTGGCTTTGTGTCATACTGTCATGTCTGAAGAAAAAGATGGTAAGTTTGGTCATGAATGCTGTGCTATTCTGTGAAATAAAAATAATGATTGGTTACCAGTGATCTTGATTGATTGTCCAAGACTGTATTTAAAAGTGATTTTCTTACCCAAGGACTGACTCTACATTCCAGGCAAGTTAGAATACCAGGCACAGTCTCCTGATGAGGCGGCACTGGTGTCTGCAGCAAGGAATTTTGGATTTGTGTTTAAGGTGAGACATGAAATTTGACAGTGCTATATTTAGAGCAGGTGTTTCGTTTTTTAAAAGAGAAAGTCTTCAAGTGTCGATCACCCATCGAAAAATGCAAATGTTAAGTTTTGAACTTTTTGAAGTTTTTGATTTATAACTGTCTACAATTTCCATATTTTTAGACTAGAACTCCCACTACAATCACCATTGAAGTGAATGGGGTGGAGGAAATCTATGAACTGTTGTGTATTTTAGACTTCAACAATGTCAGGAAAAGAATGTCTGTAAGTACTTGTACACGTAATACTATTCATTTGTCAAAGTGGATTCAACTAACTTAGCATTTATTAAATTTATGGGAGGATAAAGGCTAGATGGTAGGTAATATTACAATGTATGTTGCTGTTCGTGTTCTCTACTATTGTTATTGGTATGTTCAGGTGATCGTGAAAAAAGATGACAAGATAATGCTGATGTGCAAAGGAGCTGACACCACTGTTTATGCCCACCTGGATAAAAACTGTGGAGATATTAAAGAACTAACCACTAGTCATTTAAATGTAAGTGTGCTTTACTTTATTTATTTATTATTTTTATTTATTATTTTATTTTATATATTTATATTTATGTTTTGCTTAGTTCTATGTATAGGTAACACATGGTTATCTGCATGACATTCTAAAAAGTTGGTTTGATGCATAAACTGGATAATAGGCATCTTGGAGAAGAATAATTTTATGATTACCATGTTTTTACCCTCAATAAATACAGTTTATAAATGAATAAATAGTATTAGGGTAATTGTTAGATAGTGGTAATGGCTTAAGAAGCTACACCCTCAGGCCTTCCTAACTACCAGACTCGGCACCGAATGATTCCGAATTCACCAGTAGATTGGACCACATTACCCGTTTTCAAGGTTTGTGTCAGTACACATTTCACAGTATCATACCCCGGAACTAATTTTGAGATGAGATGCACTACTTTACAATCCTGCTCAGAATCATTGCTATCACATTGCCTACTAGGCAAGAGCGATTTCGTGTCTGATACTTCGAAGCGTGTACTGACGCACACCTTGAAAATGGGCAGCGTAGTCCGATCTGCCAGTGAATTCAGGATCGTTTGGTGCTGAGTCTGGTAGTTGGGTAGGCCTGACCCTGTAGTTGACTGTGTGTCCTGTGTTCTCCCCAGGAGTTTGCTCACATTGGACTGCGGACCCTGTGCTTGGCAACCAAGGAGATTGATTCCAATTATTACAATGAGTGGAAGAAAAAACACCACCGAGCAAGGTAAGGGTCATGGCATTTATAACCTTAACCACTGCAGCCTGAAATAGCATTTCTTTAAACTAAACTATTCTTTTAACCCCCCAGAGGGCCATGTGTAAGATAAGTATGTGCACCTAACATGTTTTACCCTCTTTATTATTATTATTATAATTATTATTATTATTATTATTATTATTAGTTCCTTCCTTCCCTGTGTAATTACACATTTTCAGCAATCCCTCTTCTTTCCACTCCAGCCATTGGTGGTCAGAGAAATGATGCATGAATCTAATGTCTGTTGTATAGTTACAGAACTTGTATTGCAGACACATGAACCCCTGCCTCACTATTCTTTCCTTAAAAAGGAGGGAAAAAAAGAAGCACTGTTTGTCTCCCATGAATGGATATTTTAAATTAGAATGTTTTATATATTAAAAAAAAATCCTCTAATCTGTTTATTTCCAGCACGTCAATGGTAAACAGAGATGAGATGTTAGATGAAGTATTTGAGGAAATAGAGCAGAATCTGACTTTGATAGGTGCAACAGCTATTGAAGATAAACTACAAGATGGTGTCCCGCAGACCATTGCAAACCTTGCATTAGCTGACATTAAGATTTGGGTGCTTACTGGGGATAAACAAGGTAAAAATAAACCTAATGAAAAACACTATTATAAGTTTGAAATATTGGACCACATTAATTTATTCTGATCCTTTCCCATTTTATCAAAACATTAAGTATTTACAACTTAATCTCTAGAAACGGCTATCAACATTGGGTATTCCTGCAAGCTGTTGACAGAAGAAATGGAAGAAGTGTTCGTAGTGGACGGGGAATCTAAAGAACAAGTTGCCAAACAACTGCAGAATGCCAAAGACATGATGTCTGGGCACTCCAGTGTGGAGGTCGTCTCCTATGCTGGAACTGCTACTCCAATGCAGAATGGAAATTCAACAGAGGAGTTTGGAGGCTATGCTCTGGTCATCAATGGACACAGCCTGGTAAGTAGAGCTGGGGTAGAGAAGTGTATTTCTATGTTTATGTTTATGGTTGTATTCTCTAGGCTTTACATACAGGAAGTGATGAGACTGATTAGTATGGCAGCAGTGTTTATTAAATTTCAAAGTAAAGTCAACAAGTGCGAAGTTAAGATGATTAATACTTCCAGAGACAGTTCATTATTGAAATACAAGTAAGGTGCATTGTTGGTTATATTAAAGTCATGCTTATTAAACTGAACATCACTGATTTCTACTCTGGAAATTATTACAACAGTGAAATATATCATAAAAGTAAAGAAATATCTAGATGAAGATCAAAGAAAATTCATTTCTGTTAACTTAAATTAATTGAATAGACAGCAGTTTTTATTCAAAATTTTGTTGCACTTTTAAGTTTTTCTTGAGTTTTCTTTTGATGACTTGTTTCTCTTTCTCAAGGTATTTGCCCTACATAAAGATATGGAGCAACTTCTGCTGGAGACAGGTTGTTTATGCAAAGCAGTGATCTGTTGCAGGGTCACTCCGCTGCAGAAAGCACTGGTAGTGGATCTAGTCAAGGTCAATAAGAAATCTATCACTTTAGCAATAGGAGATGGGGCCAATGATGTTAGCATGATTAAAAGTGAGTGACTAAATTATTGATAAGTCTTATTTTAATGTCTCCATAAAATATTCAATATATCTAAACAAAAAAAGGAAAGAAATTATTTCTTTATAGGATCACAAAATTTTCTGTTAAGAAAAATGATATCAATGTACAAACACGCTAAATACTTGTCTGAAATAATGAGTGAAAAACAAAAATTCTGTAATTTCTGATATGAAATAAAAACTTTAAATTTAAATTTTAAATTTTAACACAATTTTCATGTACAGACACAACCTTTTAAGCATTTAAGTATTATATCAATTTGAATTGAAAAGTGTTTCTTGTACAATTCTAGAATGCCATTTTATTTAGTCTTATACGTGTACATAAGGATAGATAGGTATGAAGACATCAGTTTTGAAGATGGTGTGTCTTTTTATTTGTTTGAAACTGCCCCTCCCCCCCTCCCCCCTGCCTACAGGGCTGCTGATGGGAAAATTAAAAGATGATCTTTCCGTTTCAGCTGCTCACATAGGTGTTGGCATCAGTGGTCAGGAAGGCATGCAAGCAGTGCTGGCTAGTGATTTCTCACTGGCTCAGTTCCGGTATTTGGAGAGACTACTTCTATGTCATGGCCGCTGGTCCTACGTCAGGATGTGCATATTTTTACGCTACTTCTTTTACAAGAACTTCACTTTCACATTTTGTCATTTCTGGTTTGCATTCTTCTGTGGATTTTCTGCACAGGTAAACTGAAAAAATTTCACACTTTGATATTATTATTGTGGAACTGTTTTAAATAATTAGAATTATATTTCAAGCATTTAATTCATGATGTAAATGATAATTTTTATATTTACTATATTAAATTTATCATATTCTTTCAGACATTATATGACCCATTCTTCATCTCATTGTACAACTTATGTTACACATCAATGCCAGTGTTGGTAATAGGGATATTTGAGCAGGCAAGTTTGGATGAAGTGTTTAGTAGAAATATCTTTATGACTCATAGAATATCTCTTCTCTTTTGTATGTTAGTGAAGTTAAGGCTCCAGTGCCTATTTAGATGTTGCATTGTCTCCCTGATGAATATTAAAGACAGTACATGACATTTCTATGATTCCACTTTGTCAGTCTTCCAGTGCTTCCATGAATGTTTTTAACAGAATAATTTTTTTCATTTATACAAACATTTTTTTTTGATAAATAAGCAATAGCTTTAACATTCTGATAATAACATCTAATATTATGACACCTTTTCATCTGTTTCAGGATGTGAATGATATATATTCAATCAAGTATCCCAAGCTGTATGCACCAGGCCTATCAAACTTACTGTTCAACAAAAAAGTATTTCTTCACAGTGTGTTTGAGGGAGTGGTTTCTTCACTTCTCCTGTTCTTCATTCCTTACGGGGCCTTCAACATGGGGGTGGACCCCACAGGCCATGACGTGGCCGACTTTCATACCTACGGAGTCACAGTGGCCTCTATACTTATACCTGTAGTGACATTCCGGGTAAGTTGAGTTTGTATATGACGCAAAAGAGTTTCAAAGGTAATATTTTGGTAACTGTGCCCTTTAAGCAACTTTGTTTCAATTGAATTTGAATGTAATGGGAAGTATCAGCCCAGTTTTATATAATTAAGTGCATTTCACATTCAAAACACTTCAAGGTGAGAAAGAATTCTGTTCCCTTTATAGAATTTTTCTCACTACAGAAAACTTATCTTAAAGAAAAAAAATTATGATTGGACATTAAATAATTTACTGAACATTTTAATTGGACATTCTTCTCTTTTTCATTTGAAATAATTCTTTCTACTTTGTGTTTTATTTGTGAAGTCTATAGAAGATATTTTTATGGATTTTAGACTTAAATAAATATATTATTACTCTGTTTGTGAAGATTATACACGATGAAAGCAAGCATAATCAGACAATTTCTTCCTTTCAGTTGGCAATAGACACACAGTTTTGGTCAGTATTCAATCCCATCATGACGTTTGGCAGCATCATATTTTATTTTTGCTCTATATTCTTTCTGTACTCTGACATTTTTGGGAACAACTGGCTCATTACAACGACATACACAGGAGCGGCAAGACACACCATGGCGACAGCCAACTTCTGGTTCTCTCTTGTGCTGGGCAATGTGGTCTTACTGTTACCTGTGGTAGCCTACAGATTTTATAAACAGGATACAGCACCTACGTTAACTGACAGAGTAAGGCTTAGAACTAAACTGTCCAAGTCAAAATCAAAATCAAGAGACCTTGGATTGAAACTAAGTCGTGCCTCCTTCAATCGCAGCAGCAAGCATGGTTCCATAAGGTCTGGCTATGCCTTTGCACACCAAGAAGGCTTTGGACAATTGATAACAAGTGGAAGCATTATGCGGGCAAACAGACCACTAGATGGAGCCACTCCAATTCGCCAAAATAGTGCAGGAAATGGCACAAAGACAAAGCTTTCTGATGGCAATTTGGTTATGAATTCTTCTCCTAAAAATAATATTCCCTCCTCTAGTGAAAATAATGTGGAACTTGTAGGTTACACTGTTCGTTCTTGATTTGCTGGTTCTTTTAGGTGTAGAAAATAACCAGAATTCAAAGTTTGTTATTCAACAAAGTTGGAAAATTAATTGCCATCAAATAATGAAAATTGTTTTATTTTGTTAACTTAGAATTTGAACCATGCTTTTAAAAGCAATTTACTGTCAAGACAAAGGGGTTTTAGATTTGATCTAATATTACCTTTTGGGGGGTGGGGGGGGGGTTTAAATTATTTTGACACATTGAAAGGAAATTGTTAGAATGTTTTTTATAGTTGCATTGCTTTTCTCTTGGCAAAATCATTGTCACATCAGAATCTGTAGCTATTACATTTCTCAAACTATCATTAAAACATACTCAAAACAGAACGTCTCTAATCAAACAATTAGTAATTTAATCTTTATATAGTTTGTAACATTACTTTAAATGGCAGATGTCTCATTGTAATATTAACTTCGTTTTTAATTAGGATTCTAATTCAACCATTGCAGTACACCATTTAGGAGGCTGTTACAGCAGTCCTCCCCTTTAAAACTCTTCTCAAGTACATGAGGAGATTGTTATAGGTATTATTGTAATAAATCATGTTTCTAAGCACACATATAGTAAACTGTTATCAGCATTATTTTCTACACCAAGAAGTAACATCTTTAGTAGAACAGCTGGCAAGAAATTTTACTGAATTGATTAGTGACCTGTGAAGTTTATACTAAAAATTTGTTTTAGTCATTTTTCATTGGACTATGTTTGTTGCAGAATAAGTTCTACTGAGATGTTACTTCTTTTAAGGTGTGGAAACTCAGGGCCCAAGCCATTATTCTTTACTTTAGCACTGTTCTTGTAATCGAGTTTTCTTTCTTTTCTTTCTTTTTTCCTTTTTTTTTTTTTTTTTGGGGGGGGGGTCAAAATATTCCCCAAATTTTTATTAAAATATCAAATGTGTAAATAAGGAGTAAGAAGGATAAATAATTTTGTATTATATTTTTATGACTACCAATGCCAAATACTTGGATTTCAACTTATGATGATAGAAAATAAATATTTTCACTTTTCTTTTTTTTAAGTCAGAGATGCGTGTCACTGTTTTTTTATATATAGTCAGATAGCAGATGTTACAAGGACTAGAAAATATACTATACATTGAACCTTAAAATGGGATGCATGTCAAAGTTTGTTGAGTGTCTGTGTTTACCAAGGGCTTTAATGTGCTTGCTATTCTATTGTACTGTTCTGGTATTGAAGCAACCAACACAGTAACATACTATATATATATTAAGAGTCTGAACCTTAGACCCCATTCCCACAGATTTTAGATCGATCTATCCCTGTGGGGAGTCTCACTAGATTACCATCAGCTTAGCTGGCTTAAATGTCTGTCCCGCCTACTAAGAGCTGTAAGGGGGTAATTAACTGTCGTGCTCGCTCGGCTGACAGCAATTTAGCGTGAACCCCCAGGGAGTTAGGTCGACCCAGATAGATCGATCTAAATCTCTGGGAATGCAGTCTTAAACATTTCAAACCACTGATCAAACTGACTACAAGTCCTCGGAATACTTCTAGTTCAAATTAAAATTAACTAGATTAGGTTTTTAAGTAATTTGATTAATAATTATTATAGTAATTATATAATTAAGTCACAGTGGTTACTTTGAATTTTTAAAATCATTTTTACTAGGCTGATGCTATGTGCAGCAGGTGTCTTGACACAGTATCTATGACATCATAGACTGCTGTCATAGAACTAGTCATTGCTGCTTAACCAGCTTTCTCAAACATCATTTCAGTCAAATACAAAACTATTACCATTAAAATTTGTGTTTATTGACACATAAGTGTACATGTACGTCAACATGGTCTATGCAATATTGTCAGCCATTCTTTTCATTGCAATTATTTGTGTGCATGACTGTTTTCTGTTGCAATTATTGTTGTGCGTATATTTTTTGTTGCAATATGTTATCTGTTTAATGGGAATCATCTGAAAGAACCGGGTCTTTGTTACTTGAAATAAAATCAAGCAAGATTTAGCAGGATTTGGAGATGGGGGGATCAGAAATAATGGCAGAAATGCAAGTGCGGAGTGAAAGCTGACAGAATTTATGTACCCTCTGGTTGTTTTATGTTCTTGTGCAGAACAATATGGATTCACACATTTTTGGTCTCACTACTGCAATGCTTTTTAATACTTTCTCGGTGCATATCGCTAGCGCATATTTTCTTGTTTTCCAGTCTTTTATATCACGTGGTCTGAAAGGCCTCATTTTAGGACACCTCAGATGATTCCCATTCTTTACACACCTTGTTCCATTCAGTAACATTTTATTTTCAAAATGATATGTATATTTCAATCTTTCTACTTACATTCAAATAACAGAATACATGTAGTTGTTACAAAAATTATAGTTTTACTAAAAGAACGATTGTTTAAGGAACAAATGAATGTTTTATATCATGTGATCTTTTGAGTCACTTGATACATGTTGAAGTGTTCTGTTGCTAATATTTTAGAAATAAATAAATTTAATAAAAAATGTCATTTTGGTCTATATTTTGCCTTAAGCATCATTTCATTACCCTAACAAATGGGTCAAAAAGAAGTGTCCATGTGCTATACAGGGAACTTGTTTTAATGGATTTCCATAAATTGTAAATGACATTGAGAAATTGAAATATAGGCTGAGGGGGCTTCGTTTTCCTCCACTCAATGCAATGCTCCTACTAAAGTAATGTTCATGCACACCTGATTTTTACATCTCATTTAACCTTGATCTTCAAAAGTTGATCAACAGTTCATCAATTTATTTTTGAACCAATCACTTATGTCTAAAGCTAGCTAGTAGTTCCACTTGTCAACTGGTAAATAAAAAAATGTTCTAAATGACTAGAACAGAGGAAACCATACCACTTGTGTTCCTATAGCATCATATAACAAAATCAGATTTCTTTCATCAGCCTTGTAATTAAATCTTTATCACTCAAAAAAGCCCTGACATCAAGATGGCAACTGTTGCAGCATGGCTAATATGGCTACTCTCAGTCCCTCTGCCAGCTGCTCAACTGTGTATGGTTTATTGATATCTGGCACATGTATGAAAGCTGCACAATCCTGGTTGACATGAAGGGAAAGATAATAGGAAAAATCACACAGGAACCTGAAAGAAAAATAAAAGTGCAAAAGTGACTTGATACTGGAGATTCACATTAATCTCAAAGTCAAGAATAACTGTTTTATCTTATCTTATCATATCATATCCAGAGACCACCAAAACCTTTTCAACAGCAATAATAAGGTTATTAAAAACTACTGCTCATACAATCATTAAGCTGAGACAGTGGCTGATTAGATAAGCACAAAAATAACTCTCCAATAAAGCTAGTGAGTGTTTGTTCCCAATGAAACTATTGTTTAACCAAAATTCATACTACTATGGGCGTCTTAATTGTGTCTGTAGATTTATCAAAGATGTCGTATTGTATCATATTGTATTGTAGGTAGATTTATCCTCCTGTCACTTAGTAGAATAAAAGAAGGCTGGTAACTAATTGAGAGCATTGGAAATAAGGTGTGTTAATCTGGTTGTACTCAGCAAGAGTCCCAGAGGAATTGGATTCGTCTACAAAGAAAGAAAGATTTTTTTCATTGAGAATGAGCCCTAAGACTAAATAAGTATTCAGAGAATGCCATCTGACATCAACTTCGATTCTCACCTTCCGGGATCAGTAGAAACAATGGCTTCCACTCCACAAGCAGAGCTATTAACACACTGCTGTACTTTAGTCATATCTATAGCCGACACCAGGCAGTGGTCTGCTCCGTCCACACAACACTTGGTGTCAGGAACACAGTTAAATATATCCTCTCTCTCATAGCCGTCATTGTGTGCTAGCTGCTCCAGTGTCAGTCTGTCTGCAATCCCGGACACTCCTACATGTACTACTAACTAAAAGTGGAAGAGTATCGTGATGAAAGTTATTATACAGTGCAGCAAATGAAGTCATTGGCACACTGACACTAGCAAGTTGACTGTGGTCCAATAAACCCTGCTGGGCATTATATTATATTATATTATATTATACCATTCACATTTTTTTAATTAAAAAGAAACCACAATAAAAATGTGTTTCTGTTAACTTTAATGTAAGAATTATGAAGGTACAATGTAAGAGCCATGTTATTCCTGAAATGATGGAGGATATTTATTTAAAAAAACAAAAAAGAAAAAAATTAGAATTTACCTATACGTACTGACCTTGGGTCTAAGATTCCACAACTTGGGCACAATATTTTTCACTTCAGAGTAGGCCACTGGTAGCTGGTCCACCACAAGATTAATGCCTTGTCCCAAACCTTTCCTTGCCAACTCCTGGACAGCAAGCCAGCTGGCATTGATTGTGTGGGAACCAAAGGGTCCAAATCCTTCAAAATTGTATATCATATATGGTGTGTTCTCTTTTTCCATTTATTGCTATGAGTGTTTAAAAAACTTGTAAAATGGTACCACTTACAAAGCAGTGCCAGTTAAATGAAATACGGCCAAATACTAGTACATGCAGTTGTATCCCTGAATTCTATAAAAATATATTTTTTCATAAAAAAAGATTTGATTTTAAAATATGTAGAATTTTCTTCCTTTTTATATACTCATGTATTTCACAATGTGTTAAATAAAAAAAATGCAAAAAAAAAGACTATCTATTACAAAACAATATCACATGATGTAAAAGTACTTACCTGTCACAACCACAGTTTGTTGATCTGTCATTTTCCTAAGCACTAACTGTTAGATCTACAAATGAGGAAGATTTTCGACTTCAATCGCAATGACAGTACATGAGCAATCTACTTTAAATTATATATCATAATGCAGAATTATACATTAATTTGTGTTTGACGTTTGCCGAATGCTGTGGGTAAAAAATATAAACAAAGCCATGCATTAGCTCACAATGTTTACCTTCTTGGTACGGTAAGTGCTTGGTTCATTCAAAGAGAGGCCAATTAGCAGCCTGAGGTCGAAAGCACTTTTTTGACAAAACCAATAACCAAAGTCGGTAGAAATATAGCATTTAATGGGACAATTGAAACAAAATATCAGGAGGAAAGCTTCAAATTGCATCACAGCAGAAAGTTTCATTTGTGTTTGACATTTATTTAATTATCTGCGGGATGACAACATGGTGGCCTTCGACGAGGAAAAAACGAAATTGCTGATACTTTTCGTATTTTCTTACTTTTTGACAACAACAGCTGACCAAACAGGTAGGTTTTTGCCAGATTTATACACACCCGCAAGCGAATCAGTAGTAAGGATATCCAAACTGAATTATTCTTAATATGGGTCTGCAATGTTATTTCATGTTATGTTTATTTCATGATTTGTTTTACCTTGGTTGAGATCACTGACAGGAGTGATTGTTGTGGTGACCTAGTCCAAATGATAGGCCTTTTTACTTTTAATGCACAGTAGTTCCAGCACGCTCAATAAATATCTGAAAACGTGACCAGCAGTACTAAAGACAGAAGAATCGGACCACTGTTGATCCTGGTCTCCTGATACTGTAATTCCAAGTGAAGCAAGGCTTTTTAAATCCGTTTGTTAAAACAGTTCAATTTATTTTAATCGTATTCATAGGTGCTATCTGTTTATATCTTTCAGCTAAAACTACAACTCCTAAAACTTTATTATCAACAAATATGATAAATTTCTATTTCAGAATTAACAACAGATTTTCCAGATAGAGGAACACATACTTTTCCATCAGATGAAAGCACTGTGATATGGCAAGGGCCTTCAGGTTCCAATAGTACCGTCCTGGATCCTAATTTTTTTAATAACACATGCAGCAAACAGTACATATCGTCATGTCCAAGCAAGGCAAAATGTAGTGAGCTAGGAGCCTGTTGCATTGAATGTGAATTTGATACTTCATGTACCTATGGGGATGATGTGACAGTGACTTGCAAAGCTCTGGCAGATATTGTATGTGATGTAAGTGTAAATTACTAATGATCTCTTGTTGATGTAAGATAGTGTGTTTGAAAACAAAATCATCTTTGCTACCAGAAGAAAGCCTTCTAATCTTAGCAAAATGTGTTAAAAAAACATAAACATTAATTAATTTATTTATTGGGATTAATGTAGCTTATCTGTTCAAGAGATATTTTTGACATTTTGATTACTGAATCATTAAAAATAAATCTGATTAAACATAAGTTTGTCTTTATTCTTTTCTGCTTTTAAATTCAGGGCGAAAGAAACTTCACAAGGGAATTCAACTGTCGTTATTGCTACCAAACAGAAGAGTGGCAGCATACTTGCACCACTCAATCCAATTGTCAGGCTGTGACCACACCGCGTCCTACCTATAGGGCAAACTGCTCTGTCAAAGACCATATACTTTGTCTAGGTAAGGAATGCCCACCTGATCCTTGGCTGAGCAATTTCCATTTTTAGGTCCACATTTAACAAAACCTTCACTCATCCACTATATCTGTAACATCACAACAACCTTTATCTGTAACATCACAACAACTGATGATTCTTGATGAATGGTGAAGCCCTTTCACGTGCTGTGGTTCACTAGCTGTCTGAGTACTAGATGCTTACGTCCAAAACTGTCTGGTCAAAATGTGCCATTCTTAAATTTTTTAGGACGAAGAAAGTTTTACAAGAACAGATCATGCAATTGGACTAAGGGTTACAGATGGTCCACTGCTCTCATTTTAAGGTGACTTTTTTTCTTTTAGCTTAAGATAATTTGTTTTTAAGTGTTTTAAGTTTAATCTTAAATTTTCTCTAGTGTTTGGAAAAGTTGAGCAGTTATTTACAGTACTTAACTGATTTTTCATTTTTATTTTTAATTTATCTTCTAATTTGTTTAAGAATGCAACTTATTTAACAACTCTTCAATTTCAGTGTAACAGTTGGTGGTTTTGGAGCAGACAGATTTTATTTAGGTCTCTGGAGAGAAGGGATTGGCAAACTGTTCAGCTTTGGAGGTCTAGGAGTGTGGACTATAGTGGATGTCATATTGATTGCAATAGGTTATGTTGGACCCTATGATGGCTCATTATACATCTACTAAACATTATCAGGAGAACTTGAATAATACTGCTGAGAGTTTAAAAACAAACATTTAAAATCATGGAAGTAAAAATAATGCTTCAAGCAATAGGAAAGATCATTGTAAATATTGGTCATCATCTTGTATATTTTTTTCCATTGTAAAATAAAGTTCTTTAACATTATGTACTACATCAAAGATTTGAATAAAATGTTATTTACATGTGCACTATCAATTTATTTATTTATTATTGTTACTATTATGTTATTATTACTTATTTTATTATTATCATTTATTTATTTATTTTTGCTGCACTGCAATCCAATTAATGAAGGTATCAAATGAAATATGCCTACCTACCTAGAGCCTACTTTCTGAAGGAATGAGGGGGTATTTCACTATTGCTGTGCAATTAATATTAACAATATCCAATGGATTACTTTATAACAAGAGCTATTCAACATTGGACCAGAGGATAAGTGATACTGTTTTTGGGGGGTGAGGGGGGGGGGGGTGGAGGTAGCTGTCCTTATTGTGCATACACACTGCTTTACGTTATTGTCAAGTGTTCAGCTATTATAAAAACCTTACTGTTGACATCTTTAAACTAAGTTGGTTGATGCAGCATTTTTGAAAAGGAAATACCTTATTCAATTTATCCAGTACATTGAAACTGAGAAACAAGGCAGCAAAGCTGTCAAATGTACAGACAAAAAACAGGAAATAACTATGCACAAAATAGGCTACTGTCAATTCTGATGCAAAAGTACATTATGTTAAACTGCAAATTCAACATCAAATTTTAATGATCAAGTCTGACAAACTGCAATGATATGAGTTTATTTCCATTTTTGAAACTTTATTACATAATACGTGATAACAAGTTTACCATCATTTTTACATAATCAACTAATAATGTTGTAAAGATGCAGGAAATGTCAAACAAACACTTTTATGTATCTTATGGTAAACTTGAAACTGTTAACATGCCTAAGAATTGAATCTGAGGAAATGTGAAAAAACTGCATTTCTTTAAAATAATGGCCCGATCATGCTGATTTTTTAACTCAACCTGCGTTTTAGCAGGAATGTTTACAGTGTTGCATATATGCTGAAAAGTGAAAAAACAGCATAACTACTAAAATAATGGCCCGATCATGCCGACTTTCAAACTTGACCTGCGTTATAATAAGATCGATTACTCCTGTGAGTTTCATGACAACAGGCCTATCAGTTTTCCTTGAAATGTGTTTATAGTGTTGCATATATGCTGAAAAGTGAAAAAACAGCATAAATTCTACAAAAATGGCCCTATCATGCTGATTTTCGAACTTGACCTGCGTTTTATGAATATTCATCAGCTCTGTAAATATACAGCCAAAAAGTAAAACTGCCTTCCACTTATCATGTTTACAATGAAAGTGCACGGCGCCGGCGACAGTGACGGCAACGACGGCAGATGCAGGTGATGTCAATATGTACAGACACATCTGTACATANCAAGGCAGCAAAGCTGTCAAATGTACAGACAAATAGCAGGAAATAACTATGCACAAAATAGGCTACTGTCAATTCTGATGCAAAAGTACATTATGTTAAACTGCAAATTCAACAGCAAATTTTAATTATGCTCAAAAGGTAATACCAATGTAAGTAAAATGTGTAACAAGCATAAGGCTTCAGGCCCATGGGAGTTAAGTTACACTTTGAAAATGTATAACTTCCACAAAAAGAAGCCAATTAGACTGCTTTTCCAACTCAGGCGGCATTTTAGTCCTGTATCTCTTTTTGGCAATCCTAAGTAACATGATTTTCCCATAATGGTCATCATGGCAGCAGCCCCCCAAATTTTCTTCTATTCTGATGCAATATTACATAATGGTTAACAGCATAATGACCGTCAATTTTAAATAATAAAATAAACATATCATGGATTTTCAGAAAATGTGACTAGCATGGGTCTTCAAGCCCGAGGAACTTCAAAGTCACACCTCGAAAATGCCAATATGTGAAAAATTAAATTTTCACAAAAAAACTGTTTAACTGGCAGAAAGAATTACCAAACAGACTGTATTGCCTACTGAAGCTGTATTTTAGTCCCATGTTTCTTTCCTGTGAGTTTGAGAACAGTAAGTGACACGGTTTTTCTTATATGGTCATCATGGGAGCAGTGCCCCAAATAGTTTTTTTTCAAATTTCGATGCAATATTACATAATGTTACACAGCATAATGACCATCATTTTTTTAGAATAAAATATTAGTATCATGGATATTCGGAAAATGTGACTAGCAAAGGTCTTCAGGCCCATGGAACTTCAAAGTCACAACTTGAAAATGCCAAAATGTAAACAAGACAGCACTGTTCTGAAATGTTTTTTTCCCATTTTTCAAAATTCACAGTTTACTGCCATTTTTATATAATCAACTAAAAAGTTGATGAGATAGGAAAAATATCAATAGAGCAGTGTTAAATGTCCAATTTCTTCCCAGAAGAATTTCATCAGCTGTGTTAAGTTATAAGAATGATGTGAATTTTTCTTCAGTCAACAGCTAATATGGAGGTAAAACCTATCTCAATATTAGCTGTTGACTGAAGAAAATTTCACATCATTCCAATTTCTTCCATTCTGAGATTCTGAACATATGTAGTGAATGATTGAATCTGACAAACTGCAATGGTATGAGTTTATTTCAATTTTTAAACATATATTTCACAATACACATTAACAAGTTAACCATAATTAATTTTTGTCTTTTTATTTAGACTCGGCTGTCGTACTAACTGCATTACAGACCCTGGGCATTTTGCTAATTGAAAATTGAAAGCTTTATAGTAGTCATATATCTGTTTAAAATGAATAAGGGTAAGCAAGATGGCAATTTAGCTGTAGATAAATACTTACTTAACTAATTGGTGAGGTCATTTTAGTGCATTTATTTTCTAAGATACCAAAATAAAGAAAGATGACATTATAACAAGTTAATATATTACTATTAGGCTGCATTCACATGCAAAATTTAAAAAATCCATTGGTGGTATCTAGTGTTCACGGTCTGCACCCTGTTTACTCTGTAGCGCAATTAATTAGCAGCGTGAGCTAGTCATTTCCAAAGCTGTAATTAATTTGTGCTGCTAGTTATTTATGCCATGGGGTATTCAGCAATAAAACAATAAAGTATAAAAATGTACAGCTTGAACATAATGAATAAATGACTCTTAGAATACAGAGCACATGACCAGTATGGAATGTGCTAGACCAGAACTGCATGTTTGCAACAAAACCAGGGGTACATATTAGCCATGGAAAATAACATTTTGTTCATTTCTAAGACAAATATTTTTTACATATCTTTTTTACCTTCAATTTTATAAAACTAACTGTATTCACAAAATAAGAAACAATAGGAGAAACTCTGTTTTGCTATGCTCCATAAAATACAATTCAACTCATTCAATAGCCATACAGATTTCTTAAAAATTCTTTTTCTGAAATTTTTTTGCTACTAACATTTGAATAGTCAAAATGAATAAACTTGAATAATTTACTCTAAATTGTCTTCTCTATCAGAGGTACAAAACTGTACATGACATTTTTTTTTGTTCAAGTATACCGAGTGTTCTTGAGTGTGAAGAATGAACATTTGAACTTCACAAATAACACATCTCCAACAGTGTCAATTATATTATAACATTTATTGTTCTTTCTTCATACTATGAGTAAGAAGAGAAATCCTATGCTTGAGCCCAGTTTTGTTTCCATAAACCCCATGGAAAGAAGTTACAACTGAACATTAATCTTCTCCAAGTAGGTGGTATTTTCCTTTCTGAAATTAAGAAATATATGTAACATGACATATTAATCACATGAAGATTTGTCACTGCTCAATTTGGTTAGTTTTTTTTTTAAATGTGTTTGGCACACTGAAATTGACTAGACAGCAAAGGTGGCAAAGTAGCAAGTGATCCACTTTTAAGGGATATATAAGCCACTGAAAATGTCAATGTGTGAAAAAAATGATATAAAAATAATGACTGCTGTAAATGTTAACTGATCATGCTGATTTTAAAAAGCAACCCGTTTCTTTACCAAACAAATATACTTCTGAAATTGATAGTGAAACAAGAATACGGTTTGGTAGGTATGGGGCAAAGGACACCAGCCAAGTCTATCTCCTATTTTATTATGCCATGTTTTAAGTTAAAAGGGGAAAGATGGTATTTCTTCTTGAACTATAACTGTCTTTAATGTGATGATTATGTTCTTGCTTTCGTCATTTATGTAAAATATGATATATAAATATATATTTAGCAATATAATATGTAAAATTTTATAAAAGTAAAGAAGAGCACAATAATGTGTGAAAATGTATGAGTAATCGTGTAACTTAGAATTGAAATAAATAAATAACTCGGTAAACAAATATCATTTGTCAATTTCAAGTATTATGAAGTTGAAGAAATGGGTGTGACATTATTTTTCCACATGTATAGGTAAAAGTAAATAATCTTTTTTTAAAGAAGGGGTAAATTCGTAAGGTTTTGTTAATGTTTTTTCTTTCTTTTTTGAAGTGTCATTCTCTGAAACTTCTGCACATGTGTTTAGCTGTATATGTGGTTGGAAGTACATAGGTTAAATGAAATTTGGGAGCAATCTGTCTTATAATCTGTAATATAAATTTAAAGACAATTTTTGGGAAAAGACAAACAAACTGGAAAGTGATCACCAAAATAAGTGGGCAAAACTATAAGTTTAAGATCTGTATGATTAAAGTTTGTGAAGACGAGATCTAGGGCCGAGTCATAATTGGTAGTTGGAGTTGTGACATGTTGTCTAAACATAAGGTCTTGGCACATCATTTTTCTGAGAGCATTTGCATTGTTTTCATGGAGCCAGTTGACATTAAAGTCACCTATAATAACACATTTATCTGTCTTATCAATAGTGTCAAGAATATTTCTCAAAGCCTCAAGAAGAACCTGCATTTTACCATGAGGAGGTCGGTAAATTGTGATGACAACAAAGTCAGGAAACTGATCTAACCGTGTGACAGTAATCTCAATTCCAGAAAAATTGCAGTTTTTTGGAAAATTCTCTGCATATCTATGGTGACTGTAGATAGCAGTACCATGCTGTCTATGAAGAGTACTATCATTTCTGTGAAGATATTTATCTTTTAGCTGGT